TCACTCTCACGCATGCCACTTCGTCCCCCGTGCTTTTCCGCATTGGCTTAAAAAAGAATTAAACGCCATTAAATACTGGTAATTATTCTTGTACATTTTATGTTGAAGCCGTCAAAAGAGCCCTTCCTACAGCACAACCGTTAGGCGGTACGATTTCTACAACCGATTTGCATCATGTATATTCGTGACCTCTGGTCACAGTGCGTCGCAAAGCTTTATGTTTTGCCGGCACGTTTCTGAATTACCCAATTTTTTTATTACATATTGTTTTAGTTTAAGGACCAAACTTTGTGCCAGCATGTAGTTTGACAGGATGCCACACATACCAAGACACATATTGAAGGTTTGAAGTTGGTCGATTTTTCGCTTTTTGCAACAAGCATTTGACAGCACTTTGTTAAAAAATCATGTGAATTTTAAAATTAAACCAAAGCTCCTTAAAATTCCACAAATAAAAGTCAAATTAACTATACTTTGAAATAAGAACACCCCCGATTTCTTACGAAACATCCTCTTTCAGTGCTAGCACGCTAAAGTTGCTCAATTTTACTGTATTTTTTGCATAATTAATTGTGTAAAAAACCCGAATTTTCGTTTTTCCCCATTTCCTCGTACACATTTGATTCTTCAAACTTTGAAATATTTTTTTTGAATATGTCTCCCTTAAGGGGTTTTCCAGGCAAATTATCAGAATTTTCGATTTTTTTAGCGTGGCCAGCAATTCTCGATATTTCTCGATATTTACCAAGTTATATCGTTATTGTGAGAGCGATGCAAGGACTGCAATCCTATTTTGTGATACAGCAACACGAGGGTAAGAGGGTATTATGCTAAATAAGCTGCAGATTAAACAACAACAAACATATGAAACATATGTGTGAACTGCGGTTATGAGACGTATATGAGCACGATCCTTCGCAGTAAAGCACTATTTGAGCAATAGTGAAAATCAGACCTGAAAAAAATTTCAGGCCTGTACGGGATTCGAACCACTGACCTCTGCGATACTACTGCAGCGCTCTACCAATTGAGCTAACAAGCCAACTGGGAGCAGGCCATCAAATTAATTCGACATAAACCCGTAGATGATAAATCAAACAACAACAAACATATGAAACATATGTGTGAACTGCGGTTATGAGACGTATATGAGCACGATCCTTCGCAGTAAAGCACTATTTGAGCAATAGTGAAAATCAGACCTGAAAAAAATTTCAGGCCTGTACGGGATTCGAACCACTGACCTCTGCGATACTAGTGCAGCGCTCTACCAATTGAGCTAACAAGCCAACTGGGAGCAGGCCATCAAATTAATTCGACATAAACCCGTAGATGATAAATCAAACAACAACAAACATATGAAACATATGTGTGAACTGCGGTTATGAGACGTATATGAGCACGATCCTTCGCAGTAAAGCACTATTTGAGCAATAGTGAAAATCAGACCTGAAAAAAATTTCAGGCCTGTACGGGATTCGAACCACTGACCTCTGCGATACTAGTGCAGCGCTCTACCAATTGAGCTAACAAGCCAACTGGGAGCAGGCCATCAAATTAATTCGACATAAACCCGTAGATGATAAATCAAACAACAACAAACATATGAAACATATGTGTGAACTGCGGTTATGAGACGTATATGAGCACGATCCTTCGCAGTAAAGCACTATTTGAGCAATAGTGAAAATCAGACCTGAAAAAAATTTCAGGCCTGTACGGGATTCGAACCACTGACCTCTGCGATACTAGTGCAGCGCTCTACCAATTGAGCTAACAAGCCAACTGGGAGCAGGCCATCAAATTAATTCGACATAAACCCGTAGATGATAAATCAAACAACAACAAACATATGAAACATATGTGTGAACTGCGGTTATGAGACGTATATGAGCACGATCCTTCGCAGTAAAGCACTATTTGAGCAATAGTGAAAATCAGACCTGAAAAAAATTTCAGGCCTGTACGGGATTCGAACCACTGACCTCTGCGATACTAGTGCAGCGCTCTACCAATTGAGCTAACAAGCCAACTGGGAGCAGGCCATCAAATTAATTCGACATAAACCCGTAGATGATAAATCAAACAACAACAAACATATGAAACATATGTGTGAACTGCGGTTATGAGACGTATATGAGCACGATCCTTCGCAGTAAAGCACTATTTGAGCAATAGTGAAAATCAGACCTGAAAAAAATTTCAGGCCTGTACGGGATTCGAACCACTGACCTCTGCGATACTAGTGCAGCGCTCTACCAATTGAGCTAACAAGCCAACTGGGAGCAGGCCATCAAATTAATTCGACATAAACCCGTAGATGATAAATCAAACAACAACAAACATATGAAACATATGTGTGAACTGCGGTTATGAGACGTATATGAGCACGATCCTTCGCAGTAAAGCACTATTTGAGCAATAGTGAAAATCAGACCTGAAAAAAATTTCAGGCCTGTACGGGATTCGAACCACTGACCTCTGCGATACTAGTGCAGCGCTCTACCAATTGAGCTAACAAGCCAACTGGGAGCAGGCCATCAAATTAATTCGACATAAACCCGTAGATGATAAATCAAACAACAACAAACATATGAAACATATGTGTGAACTGCGGTTATGAGACGTATATGAGCACGATCCTTCGCAGTAAAGCACTATTTGAGCAATAGTGAAAATCAGACCTGAAAAAAATTTCAGGCCTGTACGGGATTCGAACCACTGACCTCTGCGATACTAGTGCAGCGCTCTACCAATTGAGCTAACAAGCCAACTGGGAGCAGGCCATCAAATTAATTCGACATAAACCCGTAGATGATAAATCAAACAACAACAAACATATGAAACATATGTGTGAACTGCGGTTATGAGACGTATATGAGCACGATCCTTCGCAGTAAAGCACTATTTGAGCAATAGTGAAAATCAGACCTGAAAAAAATTTCAGGCCTGTACGGGATTCGAACCACTGACCTCTGCGATACTAGTGCAGCGCTCTACCAATTGAGCTAACAAGCCAACTGGGAGCAGGCCATCAAATTAATTCGACATAAACCCGTAGATGATAAATCAAACAACAACAAACATATGAAACATATGTGTGAACTGCGGTTATGAGACGTATATGAGCACGATCCTTCGCAGTAAAGCACTATTTGAGCAATAGTGAAAATCAGACCTGAAAAAAATTTCAGGCCTGTACGGGATTCGAACCACTGACCTCTGCGATACTAGTGCAGCGCTCTACCAATTGAGCTAACAAGCCAACTGGGAGCAGGCCATCAAATTAATTCGACATAAACCCGTAGATGATAAATCAAACAACAACAAACATATGAAACATATGTGTGAACTGCGGTTATGAGACGTATATGAGCACGATCCTTCGCAGTAAAGCACTATTTGAGCAATAGTGAAAATCAGACCTGAAAAAAATTTCAGGCCTGTACGGGATTCGAACCACTGACCTCTGCGATACTAGTGCAGCGCTCTACCAATTGAGCTAACAAGCCAACTGGGAGCAGGCCATCAAATTAATTCGACATAAACCCGTAGATGATAAATCAAACAACAACAAACATATGAAACATATGTGTGAACTGCAGTTATGAGACGTATATGAGCACGATCCTTCGCAGTAAAGCACTATTTGAGCAATAGTGAAAATCAGACCTGAAAAAAATTTCAGGCCTGTACGGGATTCGAACCACTGACCTCTGCGATACTAGTGCAGCGCTCTACCAATTGAGCTAACAAGCCAACTGGGAGCAGGCCATCAAATTAATTCGACATAAACCCGTAGATGATAAATCAAACAACAACAAACATATGAAACATATGTGTGAACTGCGGTTATGAGACGTATATGAGCACGATCCTTCGCAGTAAAGCACTATTTGAGCAATAGTGAAAATCAGACCTGAAAAAAATTTCAGGCCTGTACGGGATTCGAACCACTGACCTCTGCGATACTAGTGCAGCGCTCTACCAATTGAGCTAACAAGCCAACTGGGAGCAGGCCATCAAATTAATTCGACATAAACCCGTAGATGATAAATCAAACAACAACAAACATATGAAACATATGTGTGAACTGCGGTTATGAGACGTATATGAGCACGATCCTTCGCAGTAAAGCACTATTTGAGCAATAGTGAAAATCAGACCTGAAAAAAATTTCAGGCCTGTACGGGATTCGAACCACTGACCTCTGCGATACTAGTGCAGCGCTCTACCAATTGAGCTAACAAGCCAACTGGGAGCAGGCCATCAAATTAATTCGACATAAACCCGTAGATGATAAATCAAACAACAACAAACATATGAAACATATGTGTGAACTGCGGTTATGAGACGTATATGAGCACGATCCTTCGCAGTAAAGCACTATTTGAGCAATAGTGAAAATCAGACCTGAAAAAAATTTCAGGCCTGTACGGGATTCGAACCACTGACCTCTGCGATACTAGTGCAGCGCTCTACCAATTGAGCTAACAAGCCAACTGGGAGCAGGCCATCAAATTAATTCGACATAAACCCGTAGATGATAAATCAAACAACAACAAACATATGAAACATATGTGTGAACTGCGGTTATGAGACGTATATGAGCACGATCCTTCGCAGTAAAGCACTATTTGAGCAATAGTGAAAATCAGACCTGAAAAAAATTTCAGGCCTGTACGGGATTCGAACCACTGACCTCTGCGATACTAGTGCAGCGCTCTACCAATTGAGCTAACAAGCCAACTGGGAGCAGGCCATCAAATTAATTCGACATAAACCCGTAGATGATAAATCAAACAACAACAAACATATGAAACATATGTGTGAACTGCGGTTATGAGACGTATATGAGCACGATCCTTCGCAGTAAAGCACTATTTGAGCAATAGTGAAAATCAGACCTGAAAAAAATTTCAGGCCTGTACGGGATTCGAACCACTGACCTCTGCGATACTAGTGCAGCGCTCTACCAATTGAGCTAACAAGCCAANGAAGACGAGAATTTGACGTTGCCTCGTGGCTTCGATTCCCTTATTAGTTTGGAGTGCGTTGGTGATCGAAGTTGTGCTTTTCTATCGGAACTAGTACGGTAAGGTTTCGGTTGCACTTCATGCTAGTATTTTTGTTAAATTTAAATATTACAACCATTCTTCAAAGATCGCGTTCAAGTTTCGGGCTAAATACTGTCAGATGTATACCGATAAAGCGTCCGAGTAACTACTAACCTGGATTCATTGAATCCTTCTGTGTCGAGGGATGATATTTTTTTATTATTTTGTTTGGGACATGCAAAACTAGATGATACATAATTAAAAAACGAGACAGATCTACGTGTTTCAATGACCGAAAACTTGTGATTTTCTTCCAGCTTCATTATAATTTTTATTATGTTACATGTAGCAATCTCATAGTGTCTACATTGATGGTTATTATGGAGACAATTGAAGACAGGTATTCATTGTAATTGTATGGGACAACGCAAAAGTTTAACCTCCGGTATGGTTGATGTCAAACATCATATATCCTGGGAAGTTCACTCACAAACTGTTGACACGTATGATGAAGATCTGGTATCTTTTATAAAGGATAGGGTGCTCTCTCCCATGCTCTCCAGCAAGAAACAGTTGGGTTACAATGCATTAAATCATTCTCTTTGCTCGCCCAGAAGAGGACAGATTTGCAGCAAAATTACCCTTAACTTAATAATATGTGCTTTTTCATTGAAATCAGTGGTTGACGTAACCCTGGTGAAAATCCTGTTCAGGATCCTGTCCAAGATCTTGATAAGATCCTTACTAGGATCTTGCCTGAAATCCTATTCAGGATCTTGTGCAAGATCCTATAGGATCCTGTAGGATCTTGTACAAGATCGTATAGGATCCTGTAGGATCTTGTACAAGATCGTATAGAATCCTGTAGGATCTTGTACAAGATCCTACAGGATCCTATAGGATCCTATAGGATCCTATAGGATCTTGTACAGGATCCTATAGGACCCTGTAGGATCTTGTACAGGATCCTACAGGATCTTGTACAAGATCCTATAGTATCCTATAGGATCTTGTAGGATCTTGCACAAGATCCTATGGGATCTTGTAGGATCTTGCACAAGATCCTATTGAGATGAAACAGAATCCTGTACAAGATCCTAAAGATTCTATAGGATCCTGCATAAGATCCCATAAGCAATAATCGCAGGGCCGAGTTTGAGTGAGAGTAATAATTAAAGATCAAGATGGGAGTCAAAGGTTAGGGTAAAATAAAATTGATTTTTAATCACACAGATAAATGAGGCACTTATCTGTGTATAAGTCGACTCTTTGACGGAAAAATTAGCCCAAAACATCACCCTCGTCTTTTACACGGATCATAGATAAAGACGTGACCCAAGCAATCCATTAAATTAGCATAAAAATTGCCAGAAGTCCATTAGGAAAACCAGGTGCACAAAACCAGTTCTAATTGTGTTCAAGTTTTGTCAGTTTTCAGTGCGTTCTTAATCGATGAACAAGTTTGAAATAATATTTTATGTGGCTTAAACAGAGCCCTAGTGGGGCTGATTTCTATTATATCTTCTGATCTGTAGAGCAGAAAATTTTCCTTACAGCTTCAGTGCTGAATTCTCATTTTCAGTGAATGATTACAGTAACTTAGTAACCTGGCAAATGCTGTTTACTTGTGCGGTCTTGTTTGTTATGTGCGTGGACCATCTATGTTAAATATTGCGTAGTTTCCAAGATGGCCGTGTTTTCATCAAGCGATCCATCGAAGCTCTTCGGTGTTCCTTCAGTCTAATAAATCTCCTTTCAAAAGGTTATTTAATTGCATGAAGATTTCATTTTCAAAACGATTTACAAAAGATGGTGAATTACTTCTCCAGTAAATCAAAGTGGTTGTATATACTTAAATCATGAATCATGGGGATGTAAACAAGTGCTACTAAACTTCACAGCACATGGTTACATTTTGCTCTGCAGTTTTTTTTTAATTCACTGTGTTTTCAATACATTCTCAGAAATAAGAGATCAACCATGGGGAAATTTCTGTCGATCTGAATTTTCTTTACTAGAAAAAATGAAAAATCTGATTTTCAACCGTGAAAATGGGGGTCAACTTATACATGGATAAATACGGTAATTAACTCCTTTGCCATCAGTAATCGCATTAAAGACTCTTTGCAGTAAATGGTTTGAACCCGGGGGTAACATGTGAAGGTGTAGTCTGATCGTCCGGGTGAGTGTAGTCCTGAGAAGGACTGTTGTCGGTGGCAGTGACTGACGTTTCGACAACCTGTGCGGAAGTCATCATCACCACTCTGATGATGGCTTCCGCAC